AAAAGCAATCGCAAGTCAGGCATGCGCAGTGTTACCAAGCGGGCAACTGCAACCCATGCCTAAACTGGTCACTAAATTACAGTCAAATGCAACTAACACATTCACCCAAATCGCCCACTTCGCATGCTTACCTTTCAAAATGCTAGCACGACATGACACGCCCTTGTACCACCCCCACCAGCGCCGCACGAGCCCAAGGCCCCGCCGCGGCGCCAGGCGGCGTCCGTACCGTATCCCACGCGCGTCAGTGACGTCATCAGACCGTCAGGCCCCAGCTCCAGCGTCAGGTCGGTGGAGCCGAAGGTGACGGGGGCAGGCGGCGAGTACTCGACGGCGTATGGAGCGGCCCGGCCCGGCGACACTTGCTGCCCCTTCGGCACGTGCACCAGCGTCACGAGCGCCAGCTCGTGCCGGCTGCAACGGAGCGTGACGGCCGCTGTCACGGCCTGACCACCGGCACACGTACGCAGCGGGATTGGCCCTACGGCCTGACCGTCGGCACACGTACGCAGCAGGCTTGGCCCTACGGCCTGACCACCGGCACACGTACGCAGCAGGATTGGCCCTACGGCCTGACCGTCGGCACACGTACGCAGCAGGATTGGCCCTACGGCCTGACCACCGGCACGCGTACGCAGCAGGCTTGGCCCTACTGACCGCAGGCACACGTACGCAGCAGGCTCCGCCCTTCCAGCTGGGACACAGCCGTGTCCTGCCTGTGCAGAATCCGCTGGCGTTACGCTCACATGGCGTTCGCAGGCTGGAAAGGTCTCCGCAAAACTAGCTGCCGACACTGGCGGGCGTGTGACCGCAGCCCCAAATGCGATCCCAGGATCCAACCCCAGAAACTAGCTGCCGACACTGGCGGGCGTGGACCGCAGCCCCAAATGCGATCCCAGGATCCAACCCCAGAAGCCCATCAGCATGGAACCCTGCGCGAGCTGGGACCCACGCTTGGTATCTAGGCATGTGCATTGTACTAACGTTCAGCCGGCATAACAATACCAACTCCGGTGTTGTTGTTTGCGATAACTGGCTGAAACAGCGCATGGCACCACGCATGGTATGACACCAATTTTTCGTAACGTATTTTAGCTTTCCGGTGTCATTTTAAATACAAAAAGAGGAAAACCGCAAATCGTCCCAATCAGTGAGGCAGTTCGACGACTTTATTGGCATCGCCACTGACTCCAACTCTCGCTTGAGCCCGGCCAGCTTCGTCCAGCTGACTGATGGTAATCGGTACGCGGCCAGCGGCGTCAGTGGGGTCACTGGGCATGAGGCTAACTAGAGACGGAGCTTGCGACTGGAATCGGCACGCTCTGATGTTGTCACGTGCAGAGGCCTTTCTGGAGACGGAGCTGCCTGCTGTAACTGGCACGCGTTCATGTAGTCCATGCGCAGCTAGAATCATGACTTACGAACCAAGCTCCGCCCATCGCGTTCGCGTCACAAATGCACGCAAATGAAGACCGGCTTTAGTGCCAAATATGGGCACAAAAGAATGTGCTGATCCAACCCCATGGAGACATATAACGCGCACAAAAAATGCACTCAAAAGCATTTGAACGCGCAGTTGCTCGTAAAACATGTGGCTGAAGACATCACTGTCGAGCACACTATCCACATGATATCGAGCCCTGCCAATTTGCCTGACGTACACAACAGCCAACAGCGCATCGACCGTTGCTAGGCGTTGCTATGCCAACAGCGACGACTACTTATAAACAAACGCAGTTTTCTTCGCCACTCGGCCAAGATGGGAGCAGGCCCACGTCTTAGGCTTACCTCGCATAAGGGAAAGGACTTCCCTTTGCCAATGAGGTTTGGGCCTCACGTATCAACAGTGTCACGTATCAATTGTCCGTCCCGGTGGCTCAGTTGGTTCGAGCGCCTGCATTCCGACCCACCCACCCGTGGCGGGATGGGTTCGAGTCGCTTTAGGGCGCTCGCTATTTGCCCTTGGCATGTATGGCCTGCGGCCGGTGGCAGCGGTCGCGCTAAAGGTCAGTTCACGTCAGAGGGCAGGTCGGACCGTGCCGAGCATTGCGGCACGTAAAGCTTTTCGCCACTAAATTCTGCCGTTGCCTGGAATTGCGCGATCGGATGGTGGGGGTCAGGGCTCACACAACAAACACTGCTTAGCGTGAGCGCTGATCCCAGAATCCATTCATTCAAAGGATTCGAACCAAATTTGTTTTTTTTAAACAGGCGGAGCCACCCCGCACCAGCGGCACGGAAAATGAACTAACATTTGCGTGCGGTCCATTGGATTGATCCATTGGAGCAGAGCATCGTATTCGACAACGGCGTCTGCATGCTGCGAAAGATGCGTTCTTCTTGCAGCCTGATTTATATCCAGGCATGACAATATAGCAGTGAGCAAACAGTGCAACGAAATGCCCAACGCAGCCTTCTTTGCATTTGCATTTCACAACCGAACTTCCCAAACATAAACATACGGCCACAGTCGGTTGCTTCGGGGAGGTCGCGGTACCCCCCGCCCCGTATCCCTTCCCGCTCCCCTCGCTAACATTTTGTTGTGGGTATTCAACGCAAACAATTATCTCCGCCTACACATGTACAGTACGTATACAAAGTGGTGGTACGGTTTACTAACTCAATGACTGCTAAGAAGCAAAGCTTGCATTTTTCGTTTGTACTTTGGCGTTCGGAAAACTGAATCTTAAAAACTTAGGCTTAAAAACTTTAAAAAACTTTAAAATCTTAGAAAACTGTTGGTGGATCAATTAGTTTACTTCCGTTCACTTAGTCCGCAACTTTTGTGACCGATAAAGCAGAGGACGCGCTCGGCCGAGGGACAAATTCCTCCCTCCATTACCCAGATATTTGTCATTTTCATCCACCATCAACGGAGATCACTCCCCAGCTGCGCCTCACTGTGTCATAAACAGCCGCAAGGCACGATAACTTATCGGACGGCCAATCTACGGCAGGGGACACTATGCTAGCCTCTCACCACGCCCTGCAAACGTCCCGAGGGGCCATTGGTTCGAGTTGGACGCGAGTAGCAGAGGCGCACCCACGGGGTGGTGGCACAAACGACCGCAACTGGTTGCTTTCTTCATGTCAATGTCAAATTCTCGAAAATGAAATAAGCGAGAATATTCCGCAGGCTACAGGCAGTTGACACACGTCACAGCACTGACTATCTTGGGCAGTGGTACCATTGTGTTCCTCTTACTTCTGGGTATATGCTCGGGTTTGTTGCGGACCCTAGCACCCACCTACTTTTGCGGAGACCTGTGCTCTGTTCCGTTAGAGACCTAAAGTTAGAGACCACATCGGCATAAAGGATGCCAACTCGAACAGAACAATGAAAAACGCCCTAAGCCGGTCTGCAAGCCTTCGTGGGCCGCAATAAGCGCTTGGTCAGCTACCATGCAAAATTTCGCTGCAGCGTGTTAAACTTCGCAGAACCAGTCCCCGCCCCGCCCCTCTCCCCCCGTTCCCCCGACGGCGTCGCCAGAGGGACCTCGCGCCGCCGCCGCTCACCCGTTCTCCATCGGCGCCACCTGGCGCACAGTGAAGACGGCGAGGCTGAGCGGCGCCAGCGTCGCCACGAACGTCAGCTTGTGCACGCCGTCCACCAGGGCGGCGACACCGTCGAAAACGGGCGCGCACTGCGACTTCAACACTCGCCCTCGCGGGTCCGTGACCTGAGGGCGTGACCCCGGGTCAGGGGGGTCGGGGAACGCGGCGGGAGCGGCCCCAGATGAGGCGGCGGCGGCACGGACAGGCCGCGGTCGCCGTTACGAGCCCTCTGGGAGGCGACTGGCTGAGACGAACGGGACGGAAGATAGATGACAGCACAATAGGTACTAAGTGCAATACCGCAGATCTACAACTGGCGACATCAAAGGCCGTCCGCAACCGACACAACATGTACACCATCGAAGCAGAAAACGGCGGGCTTACGAACAGAACACTCGTTCGAACTATTCCCCTCGCCTACTGCGTTAGCACAAACACACAACCGGGCAGCCATCAGCAGTCTACGCTCACGCACAGAACGGCACGGCCCACACGCCTGCGCGGGGTCTCACCTCCACGTGCGCGCTGGACACGTGCAGGCTGACGGCCTCGACGCGCCGGTGCGCCAGGTCGTTGTAGACGAGCACGGCGCGCTCGCCGTCGGCCAGCGACAGCGTGCGCCGCTCGGCCAGCCGCTCAGGGCCGCGCCGCCGCTCGGCCGGCTCCCAGTACACGGCGCTGATGTCGGGCTGCCAGGCGGCCGGCTCCGGCAGCAGCAGCGCCTGCGCCGACTGCTGCAGCACGCGCTGGCACCGCTCCAGCGCCTTCAGCAGCCTGTGGCCGCGGCGCCGGGGAGGCGGGTCAGTCGCTGGCACCGGGGGCGCGGCACGCCGCCGCCATACGCCCGATCGTGGCCTCCGAGGCGGCGGCATCGGGAGCGGAGCAGGACGCCGCGGCCCCTCGACCGCGGCCTCCGAGGTGGCGGACAGCGGACGCCAGAGCGGCGCGGCCCACCACACGGTACGGAGCGGCGCGGTACGGAGCGGGCCGTCAAAGGCCGGAGCGAGCACAGCCGTGGACAGCTCGGCATCGAGCCGGGGTGACGGGCCGGCGTCGGACCCGGACAAGCGCTAGACCGGCCAGGCGGGTCTGATGCGCACCTTGTCTCGTGCGACTTGTGTGGCAAATAGGTAATGCGGCGTGACGTTGGGGCACAACGGAGCGTAGGCACATCAGCTCACAGCGAAACGTCAGCATATGGTGGGGCATCCGGAGGGTTGGGCTAATACAACACCCGCTGGATCTTAATGGCTAGAAAGTTGCAATGTGCTGCACTGATTCATTCGCCATCTTTATTTTGCGACGAGTTTTCTCTTAACTCTGCCACAGTTTTCCCTTTACTCTGCCCGATTTTGGACCTGGCCTTAGCACGGGTTCAAAGTGGGGTGAATGCCACGTGATGACCTTCGCATATGACAGCATTTTTATATATAGCGTGGAGACAGGGGACAATGCGCAAATGTTACAACAGTTCGTTTGATTCATTTTGGAGGGGTGAAAAATCAATTCTTGGAATGCCATTTTGTCGTACCTTCTCAAAAAAACGGAATTCGAACACAGATCTGGAAGTCCCAGTTCCTTGAACAGCCTGCAACCCAGCACGTTCCGGGAAAAACTGAAATTCCCGATTTTTGGTGGGCCCGATCCCTCTAACATAACGCCCAACACGGAACGAGTGGAGCCCCACGCCCGTATATTTCCTAGAAACCACTGGAGGAACACTCAGACGCTACTCCACCCACCCCACGCCCCTCAGCGCCCCTCCAGCGCTGTCAGGAGGCGGCACCTCTGCCACCACGCGGGCCGGCCCGGGCCGTCCGCCGCGCCGCGCACCCACTTGTTGCCGTAGTCGATGACCACCCTGTCCTTGGCGGTGCCGGTGATGCCGTCGTGGTGCTGGAAGAGGCTGAGCGCGCGCCGGGCCAGCACCAGGTCGGCCAGAAGCTGGGACGTGTGCGAAGAGAGCTCTACCGACGGCGAGGGGCCGACCGCCGCCAGCGCCAGCGAATACAGCAGCTCGGCAGCCCTGCAGCATCGACGGTCAGTTCAGGTCAGGTCAGTCCAGGTCACGACAGGTCAGGTCAGGTCGCCATAGGTCAGGTCAGATCACCATAGGTCAGGTCAGGTCACCACAGGCCCCGTCAGGTAATCACAGGTCAGGTCAGATTACCACGGGTCTGACCAGGTGAGGTCACCACAGGTACGGTCGGGTCACGACAGGTCAGATCAGGTCGAGCCACCACACGTTAGGTAAGGTCACCACAGATCAGGTCAGGCCACCACAGGCCCGCCTAGGTCAGGTCACCGCAGATACGGTCAGGTCACCACAGGTCAGGTCAGGTCAGGGAGCCGGGGCGCGTGACGCCTCCTCACAGGACCGAAGGTCGTAGGGTTGACACTTCAACCGATTCGTCTCGTGGAACGGGTTGCTGGCGGTGTTGAGTTTGAGCGTTAGAGGTGCACGGGGCAAGCGACGCCACAATCAGGCATTGCCCTTGAAGCCTCCTTCCCATCCTTTTGCAGCTACGCCGCGCACGTTATCTCGGCCTCCCGCTCGCCACAGCAGCGAACGTGACTCAAGGAAAAGCACACCCACGCAAGTCAAAATCCTTACTTCTTAATGAAGCCACACCCTGATCTGAGACTGAAGACAGTCCATAAAGCTGCGATGGTTCATGGAAAGGATCCGACAAAGGTCAGAACTAACCCAGCGAAATGACATCAGCACAGGACAGGTATATACGAGTGTGTAACTGTCAATCCACCCTCACCCCCCACCCACTAAACGTGAAAGGCAAGACACGCGAGCGTTGACAGAAGCCCTTTCCGAACGTGACGTTTCTCCACCGCCGCCACCATCGACGCCTCATGACCAACACTTCGCGCTAGCCACAGAGCGCCAGTGCGTTCTCAGCCCCGCACTGCCGGCCAATGCGATGGCCACGGCCGGCGACGAGCCGGACTGACCGCAGCTGGCTGATGAGCACGCGGTCCATGCTCTTGTGGAAGGGACGCGACGTGTAGTAGCCGCTCCAGTACTCGTCGTTCTTGTCGGCGTAGGTGAAGAAGTCGCCGGAGAGCCGGGGGAAGGCCGCCAGGCCGGCCGCCGCCTCCTTCCGTGCGTCCGCCTCCAGCGCCGCGAAGTAGTCGGCCAGCGTACCGAACTGGGCCTGACGGATGGACGGGCGGACGGTGGGGCTGGGGACAGGCACTCACACTCACTCCACTGCTTCGGAAATGGTGTGCCGCGCCGTAAGGTCGTGCGTCACTATCCGATCAAACGCCAGTATCTTATTGATCCCGAAACGCAGGTAGAGATGTGTCCCTCTAGGTGGAAAATATCGCTGAATTCACTAAAACTTTGCTTGATGCACGGTGGAAAGTGATATATTTTTATACAATGGTCTCAGTTAAGCACGACATAGGTCAAGTGGCAGGGGTCTCAACCAAAAACGCAAGCCGCGTTGCTCACTAACAACTCATTTCCATTACACTCTGCACGTGGAGTCAGCAGTGCGTCTTGATTCTTCCGGTTCAGACGAGAGCAAAACGACCACAACATCGCCAATAAAGTCCCTTCCTAGCTCGATAAAACCCATTCCCATTGTGATAAATCCACTCCTAGCTTGGTTAAATTCACTCCTAACTTGACGAAATCCACACCTTATTTGACAAAACTCCCTCATAACTTGCTAAAACCCGCTCCTAGCTTGCCAAAATCCCCTCCTAACTTGTTAGAACCCACTCCTAGCCCGCTGAGATGCCGAGGTCGGTGGGCCACGGACCGGGCCAGCCCGGCGCCCCAGGCCCCGCCAGCCGCCACCCACCTCCACGTGCCAGTCCGTCTGGCCGTTCATGTGATCGAAGAGGCGCTGGTAGTTGACGTACTGCGCCTCCCACTCGTGCGCGCTGTCGTAGCGGAAGTCGTCGCCCAGCGGCACCATCACCACCCGGCTGTTGTACAGCTGCGCCTTCTTCCGGTACTGGTCCAGCAGCGTGGCCGCCCTGGGTCGGGGCAGGGTAGGGCGCGTGAGGTGCCGACGGCGGCCGGGGCGGCGGCGGGGGCAGCGGCGGGGGCGGCGGCGGCGGGGACGGCGTCGGCGCCGGCTGGCTACGCAGCAACAGTCGATGCAGGGTGGCGTCATACGGCCAGATGCCCATGTTCTGTCAGCCTCAGAAAGCGAATGTCAGTCGCTCGTTCGCTGGTAGCATTAGATGAATACCTCATTCATTTCAAACATGTCACTAGTTCGCAGATGGTGTACGGTTTTGCAGGATTCCCCGCGCAACATCAATCATCCTGAAGGGTATATCTGATGAAAAGGATTGCGGAGAAGCGAACTTCACGGAGATAAGCTACGCCAACGGTAAGACGAGTCCGCACTTTGGAGCAAAACATTGACCTGGTGCTCCTGCGTATACAATATCAACGAACCAAAATAAAACCCAAGTGTATGTCCTCAATGCACCTCTCTTAACGACCCGACTCCACTGAGGCGTACGGCTCAGGTGAGCGTCGTTCCACAATCCTACCACGAATAAGCCACTTGATTACCATTCACCTATATCACATAACGCATTCGCTACAAAAGGCACGCATTTCTATATCATTGTATACATGATACACACCTTATATATGTATATATATATATATATATATATATATATATATATATATATATATATATAAAGTAGAAATGCTAGCCCAACCCCATTACCAGCCTGGAGCGCAGGCTAATAACACGCCATGGGTCAAATAGCACATCTGTTGAGATAAGTCTTCATCTAAAGGAAGCACCGTAGCACACTGAGCAGGTCAGGCCACATGCATTTCCCGCAGCCTTTTAATCTAACGTTCGCGACGGCCAAACCCAAAAACAAGTCAAGACGAACCCAATCCAACTGACTATTTCCAACAGCTTAGGACCCAGCCACCCCACACGGCTAACATCGGCCTCTATGGCGCTGGAGAACCCCACTCGCTCACATCATCCGACCGCCGGGAGCGGGCGGCCTCCGCTCCAACAGCGCATGCGCACAGCACACGTGTTATCAGCCATCCGTCACAACGCCAACGTACCGTCCAGCGCCCCCCCCCCCCCCCCCCTCGACCCCCTCCACCCCACGGAGTTCAGTAAGGGCAGCACCGCCCCCGGGCGCGGGGTCACCATCCGGCTGACCTCTCGGCGACGTTGCCGTCGTTGATTGGCCGCGGCGCTACGCGCCACGGACAGTTGTACTTGCCGCCGGGCAGCCGCGCGAAGTCAAACTGGCAGCACACCTGGCGGCAAGGGGCGTCATCGGCGGCACGTCAGGGACGCGGTCTCACTGCGGGGAGATGTGACGGGGAGCGACCCGACAGCGGACCGTCACGGCGGGGCTCACACAGCAGGGCAGGGGTGACAGACGAGTTTACACAGCAGGGGAGGGGCGACAGGCGGACATACACAGCAGAGGGGTAACAGAAGGGCTCACAAAGCAGGGGAGGGATGAGAGGCGAGTTTACAGAGCAGGGGAGGGGTGACAGGCGGACTTACATAGCAGAGGAGGAGTGACAGATGAGCTTATACAGCAGGGGAGGGGTGACAGACGGACTTACACAGCGGAGGAGTAACAGACGGGCTCACATAGCAGGGGAGGGGTGACAGGCGGGCTTGCACAGCAGAGGAGGAGTGACAGACGAGCTTACACAGCAGAGGGGTAAAAGACGAGCTTGCACAGCAGGGGAGGGGTAAAAGACGGGCTTACACAGCAGGGGAGGGGTGACAGACGGGCTTACACAGCAGGGCAGGGGTGACAGACGGGTCTAAACAACATTCCACTGCCGTTAGAGCTCATCGCTCCGCCACAACTGACCAATTTAAACCATACCGGTGACCACTTTACTCCACCTCACACCGCCGCGAACCATACCAGGACAATGCATGGTTCTCCGGTAGCAGGTCGGCGCCGGCCTGTGTCCACGACCAGCCAAGGCTAAACGACCACCAGCGGACGGCGAATACAGCTTAAGGCTGGGCAGGGCAGGGTGGAGAGCCTCGGTCTCGAACGCTGCATTACAATCGAAGTCAGGGTGACATGCTTTTTACCGAGTGATAGCTTTATCACCATGACAGTCATCTTTGGATGTGGTCACTGTGGCGTGCGCTGGGCACAAGCAAACGCCACTAACTGACGACTCAGAGGTCTAGCTGACGACCCAGAGGTCTAGCTGACGACTCAGAGGTCTGGCTGACAACTCAGAGGTCTCTCCTCGGGCAGCTCGTCCGGTTGGTTGCACCCCGAGCCCCTACTGACCTACCATGGGACCGACTCCTTCCACAACCATTGGACAGGGGACGGGATTGACATACTCCGGGCTTTGTTCGCCATCGCTATATGGTTAGTGTGGGACGTGGTAACCTGCATTCGGGTCCGTTTCCCGTCGTTAGGTAATGAACAGGGTTTGTGCCATTACCCGGGCGTCTGCTCAACAACAGGCCCGCACAACTGCCTGCTCTGGTTTCGGCTGCGATCAGCCAAGACCACTGCCCCGCGCCGCCGATGACTCAGCCCTTCCGCCGGGCCGCCGGCCACCCACCTTGGGTGTCGGGCCCGTCACGAGTGCGGCGCGTCGTAGCTGTAGAACGGCATCACGTGGCAGAACATGTCGGTGCTGTCGCCGCTGTCTGACGCGGGAGGGAAGAATGTTAGTGGGCGGCGAGGGCGACGCCGGCACGCCGGGTGTGGCCGGCAGCGTGCGTGTCGCAGCAGGGGGTAGGGCAGCTGTCGGCCTCTGCCGCCCTCTAATGGACAATGAGATACTGTTCTAATGTGATTGTACCGTTCTCCTTCGGATCGTCTCACCCCAGGTCTGCGAGCCGCTCCACCGCTCCCGACACCTCACCCCAGGTCTGTGAGCCGCTCCACCGCTCCCGATACCTCACCCCAGGTCTGTGAGCCGCTCCACCGCTCCTGACACCTCAGTCCCGGTGTGAGACGCTCCACCGCTCCAGACGCCTCACCCCAGGTCTGTGAGCTCCCCAACACCTCACCCCAGGCCTGGGAGCCGCCCCACCGCTCCCCGAACCTCACCCCAGGTCTGTGAGCCGCTCCCACCGCTCCCGACACCTCACCCCAGGCCTGTGAGCTCCCCGACAGCTCACCCCAGGTCTGCCGCCACCAGAACTCGAGCTGCTTGTGCCGCGCTAGGCGGCGCTTGACGGCGTAATGGGCGCGCTGGATCACCATGTGGTCGAGGCCGGAGCGGCGCAGCACGTACGCCAAGGTCGGCGAGAGGCCGAACGGGTCGATCGACCAGCCGTTACTGCCAGGTCATGTCAGGTCAGGTCAGATCAGGTTAGCATGAGCTGGTCAGCGCGGGCTGGGACAGGCCAGTGCGTCAGAACGCCATCATAAGGGTCAGGTCAGTTCGGGTCAAGGGCCAGCATGTGTCGCACCAGGGGGCTGATTTCAGCGCGGAATTGATCCGACCAGCGGCAGCTGGCACCGGTAATTTCATATTCGTTAGCACAGCCCAGCAGGACTCATCTCCACAGAAACACAGGAAATCATCGCATGACACGGCACGGACAGCTCCGGGCTCGGGTCAACACTGGTCAATCCTGCGCCGGTCAGCTCGGCCAGCGCCGGGTCTACGCGCCACACGGCGGCGGCGCCCGCCACCCGCGGCGGCCGGCGCTGTTACCACCCCGCCAGCGGAGGTGCGTGGGCCCGGCGGAAATCGGCTTCAGTCGGCCCGGCTCCGCGAACAGGCGAGCGTGAGCCGGATCACTGACTGACGCCAGTGTACTGCCGGGAATAGCTTTATGCCACCGGCCCCACTGGACGTCAGGTCACTGACCTGACGGTGGCGTTCAGGTTCAGCCGCAGCCACTCGTGTCCGGTGACCAGCTGCTCGAGGACGGCCCAGTAGTGCGTGTTGGCCTCGTCCGGCATCACCCAGCCGGCCGTCACCAGCTCCAGCTGACCCCGCGACACCAGCCTGGGGGCACGGGGTCAGGTCATCGTGACACCAGCCTGGGGCACGGGGTCAGGTTACAGTGACATCAGCCTGGGGCACAGGGTCAGGTTACCGTGACTCCAGCCTGGGGCACAAAGTCAGGTAACCATGACTCCAGCCTGGGGCACAAAATCAGGTCGCAATGACACCAGCCCGGGGCACAAAATCAGGTCACCATGACTCCAGCATGGGGCACAGGGTCAGGTAACCATGACTCCAGCCTGGGGGCACAGGGTCAGGTAACCATGACTCCAGCCTGGAGCACAAGGTCAGGTAACCATGACTCCAGCCTGGGACACAGGGTCAGATCACCACGACTCCAGCCTGGGATACAGAGTCAGGTAACCATGACTCCAGCCTGGCATCAAAGGGTCAAGTCATCACGGCACCACCCTGGGGCACAAGATCAGGTCGACACAACACCAGTTTTTGGTCAGAGGCTCCCGTCTCAGCGACGTCTTCCCTTTGACGGTCGTCTCATGGCTCATGGCTCTCATGGCCCCAACAACGGCTACGACCAGCGTCAATGGTAACCCTCATGAGCAACGCCGCTGCCCTGGCCAGCGTTAGCACCCCAAGCAGCGCCCTCTAGACGACCACAGCTGTGGGGCGGGCGCGGTGCCACCGGCGTCCCACCCCACCCCGCTCGTCGACACCTCCGGCGCGGCGGACCGGACGGAGTCGGGTCAGGATCGCCGGTGCGGACACGGCTGGATGTTCGTGACTCAGGACGTTGGCTCTGGATACGATGGCTACCGCATGTCACGACGGGAAAATAATGTTTCTAGACAGTCCGTATGCTTGTTTGGTTTGGTAAATACAGCGTACGACTGCTGTCACCGTCACCAAAGTAATGCCTTCGGCCGACTGAAGCGGGAATGCAGCGATGCCACCAGCACCGGTCTGCAAGCAGCACGCTCACGGCGCGTGCCACCCATCTCCATCGCCGAGCCGTGGGTCCCTACGATCCCACGAGACGCCCGCGCAGCAGCGGGTCCATCTCTTCGTTGTCCTCCGGCGAAACACGTGCACCTGCCCCCTCCCCGCCGACTCGGCCGAGCCTGTTCGACTGCCCGCCGGCGGTGGCGGTGGCAGCGGCCGGCCAGCAGGAGCGGCGGCCGCCCCTGCCACACGCCCGGCAGTGGCCGTACGTCTGGCGACGGTCGGCTCGACCAGCGCCCCACACTTGGTCTGACGCGGCAGCTCTGGAGCGGCGTCGAGCCACGCTGCCAGCCCGAGCGGCTCCGACCCGCCAGCTGGCCGGGCACGGCTCGCGCCGGCCGCCGGCGAGGTCGCCCGGTGCGCGAGACCCGCGCCAGCTGTGCCACAGCGCCGCAGCCGCGCTGCCGGCGGCGCGCGACGCAGCCACGAGACCGGCAGCTGTCCAAACCCTGCCGGGAGCGTGACATCTGCACAACTGTGGCGGCACCGGCACGTACAGGACTACAAGGCCGGCAACCGGGAGGACGTCAGAGCAGGCGCTTCGAGGGCTTCCGACAACAGCGCAGGGTCAGCAATAGCCCCCAATGAAAGTATGGAAGTGTGGAGGTGTTGACGTCACACCAGCGGGTGCAGCTCCCGTGGACTTCACCAGCCCGCGGCCCTCTGCTGGGCGGAGACTCCTCTGGCGCTGCTGGCGACAGCAGCGGTGCGGTCGGGCGCGTGATGGTGGAAATCACACCGCAGACCGCTGTGGATCACCTCTCATAGCCCGCACCCCCGCGCAGACTGTGAGGGAGCCTCGCGGGGTACCCGCATGGTGCTTAGCAGGGCTTCACACAAAGTCATCGGCGTCTTATTTGCGGAAGCTACCGCACGCCCTGTGACGCATGTCGTTCGGATATTTTATTTTATCGCCATACACGAGTATTTGATGTCCTTCGGGAGCCAATTAAATATGTTAAATACGTGCCGCGCCGTAAAAAGCCAAGTGCGCATACCGCATGTCGTCACGGCAACGCCAGAGCTAGTGCATGCTCCGGCGCGGAGTTGACCCATGTAAGATTCAGAGTGACCTATTTACGTCACCCGACACGTATGAGTGTTCGGTGCATGTCCACTGGAACTGGGCAGAGACACGATCCGCGTGATTACAAATGGGCCCTTTACGCTACCCTTACCGGTTCACAAACGTCCACAAAGCACGCTACACGCTGCGACTAGTATCGTCAGTGCGAGGTTTTAACGCTCACGTATCACGCGAAATGCACACGGCTGAACAGTTAAACATCGTCCCACGCAGGCAAACCCGTCGGCACGGTGGTGAAACGGACTAGTTTTAACGATTAGTTCATACGGAGACCGCTTGCATCCCGCCTTTCGCTTCTGCAGGTCTCATCATCACATATAGCTGGCGCGTAAAAAATTTCCTATCGCATATGTATTTCCATATGCAGTGAAACACTACGCACTCCTAACATACTATGTAATATTACAAACACATGCATAATCTGCCTATATCACACATCGCAATCGAATAGCATCATGGGAAAAAGTGCACCCTCCTCTGGTGCATGTAACGGCAACTGACTCGCATTACTCTAACCCAACTTTTGCCGAAGGAAATGTTGATATAATCAAATATATCACAGACATCCGCTTGGCATGCCTCTTGACGCAGACCCCGAACTACCAAGGGTGAACGCCAAGGACGCGTCAATGGCCGATGCCATATCGAGCCAACGTCAGCTCAGGCCCGCGATCAGCTTACGTTTCCCACAAGACGGCTGTGGGCTTATCGCCGGCTAATAATACCGCAAAGGTGGGTACACTCGGAGCTATAAGGTTCGATACAGCGCAGGAGGCGCTACAGGACCGGAGCTTCAGCTTCCCGCCGAGCGATTCTGAACGGGCTATCAAGTGATAAAGTGGCTGTGGCGTCTCAGCAGAGGTACAATGTTGCAAAACTGTACGCATCAAGGTGCTTATGCGGTTGCAACGTATTGCGTGAAAAACACGTGAGAGAAGGGCGTCTGTTTAGAGAGGGGGAAGCCACCCCTCCAATGAAATGTTTCGCTCGACATCAAACATTGATACCTACGTCCCAAAGGCGCAGCTTCAAAAAATAGTTTGCACGAAGGCCTTCGGGGTTGCGACATATCAATGCCAAATCCAGGAGATTTGAATGCTTATTCATATGAAGGAGAGTTCAGACTCAGATCCTCCTTTCGTTGCACTATTAACCGAAAAGCATTTGTCCACAAAGCGTAGTTTGTAGCACAACCTTTTGATTCAAACCTATCTGTCACAGTCGGAATACCAGATCCTAATGTTTTTAACGGGACCATATCGGCACCAGCATAGATTTCAATCTCCCGTATTCCATTCATTCCACCTTCACCGCATGATACCTTTTGTCGCGGCGCGGCGCGACAAAAGATGCGCACCGTTAGCTGGTCCTGCAATCGCTCCCCAGTCCTCACACGGGCGGCAGGTGCCGACGACAATGTGAAGCGTTCTCTGCGTGTGCACATCCATTTCCTAACGCTGCCAGCAAGGCATCGTTAAGGCGGCACAAGACGCAATCGCCTCGCTCCCTACCCCCCCCCCCCCCCCCCCCCCCCCCTCCCACCTCCCGTCCTCCGGCGGCGCCCGACCTGACCTTTTGACCTGGCCTTGACCTCGGGTGAGATCTCGTTCCACCAGAGGTCCAGGTACGAGATCTCAGCCCAGATGAACTTCATGCGCGGGAAGCGCTCCAGCATCGCCACCATCGAGTTGAGATGTTGCGGGTCTGACCCGCGTAGTACTGCTCGAACGTCTTGATCCACCCTGCGGCCGGGAGTGGCATGCCCCCTGTTACGAGGCGCGCCTGGCGGCCCACCATCGCGCGCGCGCACATTTAGCCATCATGCACGGCCGCTTTGACGCGTTTTCCGATGGCAGATATCGTCCCCGGTATGGTCACACCAACAACGCAGGTGTTCCCGGTAGGGCGCAATGTCACGGCGCAGGCCAGCCTGCGCGCATTCAGCTTCCGAAAAAGAGCATAAGACCAGCCAGCTTACAAACATAATGTGAGGCGTTGTTTGCCAATCAGCACCGAGCAGCTAACATTCTGCCGCATGGCGCTGGACAGACACGTGGTAAGGCGACACTTGCAGCGGTAATCGATGCTTGGCTCATGGCTGGCCGTATGTTGCGCGCTATTGCAACCGCCATTACCCAACAACGCCATGCCCAGTCACACACCGACTCCCCTCAAACAGGGTATGCGTGCTGGGATTACAAGTGCCCGTCCCCCGTCTTCCGTCCCCGTTCCCGTTCCCGTTCCCGTTCCCGTTCCCGTTCCCGTTCCGTCCTGTCCCTTGTCCACTGTCCCTGTCCCTGTCCCTGTCCCTGTCCCTGTCCCGTCCCCGTCCCCGACTCCCTCGTACCGGGGTCGTTGTTGCGAGTGGGGCACCACGAAGACGCGCAGCTTCTTCGCCGCGCTCCACTGGCTGGTGTCGTAGGTCAAACTCCCAGCCCTGCTTCCAGGCGCCACCGTCGGGGTTGTCGAAAGGCATTCTCCTTGTAGAGATCCAGCATCTGCCAGGCACACCGAGACACGGTCAGGAGTCTGCGGGATGTACCGTCACCGAGAAGCTCCGGTCTCCGGTGGACATGCCACGGAGACCCGAGGCGTCTGCGTGATGTACCGTCGCCGGAGCAGCTCCGGTCTCCGGTGACATGCCACGGAGACTCGAGGCGTCTTGTCGCACATGGCCATGGCCAGCGCATCTCTCACACAGCATCTTGACAGAGCTGCGCGAGCTGGGAGATCCAGCTGACATAGACAGCGAAATACGGACGCAGCCACGTCCGGGGTATAGCCCGTCGCCAACAATGCCCCGCCTGCGGACGGCGCGCCTCCGACGATGATGAGTCGCGTGTCGGAACATGTCGACGGCCGGCGAGTCGTCGGTTCGACACGGATCACCTTGTCCGGACACTGAGTGACGGTCGTTTCTGACAGATGATTCCCATTCACAAGGTCGTAACGCACTATCGAGACCCTCGCGCCCAGCTGCTGGGCCATGATGTCGCCTGCCTCTCGCCCTGACAGGAAGGGCGAGCACCGCGGAGAATCGAACCCCGTACCACTAGTTCCCAGACACGCAGTGGTTAGCGCAGACGCGTGAGCACCCCCCCCCCCCCCCCCCCCTACAAACCTGCACCGTCGGTGGTCTTAGGTGACTGCTGGCCAAATTCGCAGAATCCTGCCATGCTGCCTGGCTGTCGCCGCTGCTGCTGCCGCTCCTGCTGCCATTCTGCAGCCGCCCGCTGCGGGGCGGCCTGCTGGTGCTGGTTGGCAGCCACATCCAGCTGGTCGGCCTGCTGGTGCTGGTCTGGAGGTGGCGCGGCCGTCATCAGCTCCTTTACCGCCTTGTGCAGCTGGCCGGCCACATGCCGGTTCTGTGAGATGTCACTCTCCAGGTGGATCAGACGCTGCTCCAGTGTGCCATCGAAGTCCTGTTGGCCACCACAGATGTCATCATGACAGTCATGACAATGTCATCAGGACAGTCAGAGGACCAGAGACTGGAGACCAGGGCTGCCAGCATGGGTCGCAAGGGTGACTTGCCTGTTGCTGGTGCCTATTATAACCAGAATACATAGAAATTGAAACATAATTTAACAAATATGGGGAAGAGACTAAAACATATACATTAGAATAACATTAACTTTGAACTTACTTCCAGACATTCTTAGCACATTTAACAACTTTCATGAAATCCATTCAACTGTGAATATTGTGAGGTTGAGGCACATCACTCAATTTTAAATATTAAAAATTTTAAGTGGTCAAAAACTTATTGCTCATATATTTCAGCCTCCATTAGATCTGTGACAACCAGGCCACTTGCTAAAATCAGTGTTTGTGTGAACTTGCAATGATCAGTTCAGCAAACAACTGATTTCTCATCAACATTTAGTCTTACACACTAACCAGTTTCACCCTGCTGATTTAAGCAGCTCACTTTCATAATTGTGCAGCTTACAACTTGGCCATGTTTGAAGAAGACATAAAATAACCAAGGCTGTTTCAGGGTTTATTCTGAAAGCAGCATGTGCTGAAAATCATTATTTTCCTGTCCTCCATGTCTGTGTGATTTTAACTATCCTGTCACCCCAAACAGACTGTGTGGTAAAGGCCATGCTTTGGGGAGCTCCTCCATATTACATATGCAACCTATGCCCACCCTGAGATACCATGACAATACAGCTGCTCCACTAAGCTACACAACACATCAACATATGTGTGGTCAGTCCATTTAGGCTGTGAATGTCTGACATGCCATGCAAGTTAACTGGTCATGATGGAAGCCTGCTGGTGATAATTAAATGGTAGTCACACTTCAATGCAACATTCCAAGAACAGAAAAGATAGACTTACCAGCTCTCTTTGGTCATTTGAAGGCAGATAAGACATTTGTATGATGATGAACACAACAACACCAATCGATATCCCTAAAACGAGCTTAAAAATAGAGTCCGGAGACCTTAGATGGAACATGATGGCTGAGAGTAACTGGCCTTTTTCACCCCAATTCACACCAACAATTTACTTCACGGAGGGCTTAAACTGCCATACGCTTTCGTATAAAATATCAAAAATTCATGAAATTTCAGATCATTGTTATTCTTCCGCGGTAAAAACGAAAAGAAACAGACACCGCTCGACAACAATCTGTCATGGTCGGCGCCCCATCTCCACGGCAGGGCCAACTCACCAATCGTGGTTTTGTTTGTGTGCGGCTTTTGCCGCATTTCGGCATAACTTGCGCAGCAGTATGCACGAGAGGCAAAGCGCAAGTAAATACATTTGGCCTGCTTTCCAGGCGTGCTTTACAGGTTTCAAGTGTCAATAGAATGCATTTATTTGTAATACGAAGAGCAGTATGAAGTCATTCTGCTCTTAAAGTAAATATATTGTTGTTAAGGCCTAAAATTTTACTATACTTACTGCTGCATATATGTCCAATATATCTGATAAATGTGTATCAGGCTGCGGGGAATGCGAAACAGACACAGATCTGATATGCATTCAATATTTCAGTTTGCAGGATTTAATCATCGATGAAAAATAAAATCTTGCCAATGTTAAAATGTGAGATTTCGCCAAAGTAAGGGGTGTTTGCAACCCCAACCGTCCTCGTCCACAGCCAGCTTTTCTTGGACAGGTTAGTCAAGTTCCGACCACATGCGTAACACTGTCAAACGGGGACGGTCCGGCGGCTTAGGCAGCCACGTGAGGGCCATGCACGAAACGCACATGGTCCGGCGAGTAGAAAGGAACGACCGCGGGGCAGTGCGCAGGCACACGCAGGTTGCAGTCCTCCATAACCGTCGGGCTGCCGTGTCGGAGCCACGCGCGCTTGCTCTGCGGTAGACTAGGACATGCCGCCCACCGGTTATCCCACCTCGGCGCCTCACCTGATCGCACGTTTCAAATGTCTTCACGAGGAGATGGAATGCTGGTGAGCTGTCGGCTGGGCTGCATTTCCGCCGGCATGCGCTTGCACGGGTCCTGACTTGAGCATGAAGGAACAGCGCATCAAAGTTCATAGGTCCTGACTGGTGCATGAAGAAACAGCGTATCAAAGTTCGTAGAGGAGTTGAGTGCTTCGCATAACCCGCATCACCGGTTTGAGAATTGCTTGCACCTGTCATTGCAACCTCCCGTTTTTCAAGAATGTCGTAGCTAATGGCGTGAGGCTGTGTGCTAAAGCGATACGTGACCCGATCAGCGCGATTAAGAACATAATGCATTGCTAGATTTTATGACGACCATGCGTCGATCGACGGCCACGTCATCATATGACGATAGTAGTTCTCACGTGACACACCGTTGAGGCGCCATTTTGACTCAAGTCGCTGGATGTCCTCATACGTTGAAAACCCGTAGCACTGTCTCCCACCAGACTGCAATGCCAGATTTTGTCTCCCTGACTTTTTATGAAACCCGGTGGACGCAAAATCGTGTTGGTGAACATTTCTCAAGGAAACCTCGGTCGGATCGCGACAGCAGCATGCCTGGCAACTGAACATGCAGGCAAAGCTTCAGCGCAGAATACCCAGGGCGGTAAAGGGACAAGCTTAAATGCCCCAACCTAGTCGAAAAGTGCGATATATATATATATATATATATATATATATATATATATATATATATATATATATGTATATCTATTCATATTATATATGTAAAAGCATCCACAACTATGCGTGGCCAGTAGGCACGTAATGAATTTCCCCGGCACAACAGCTCGCAACACCAATCAAACACCAGCACGTGTCACATCAAGCGTCAGACATGTAACGCACCGAATGGCGCTGAAAAAAGGCCGTCTCCAGGAGACAGGCGGTGAGGGTTAAAATCCCACCGAAACCTGAGCAAGACAAACCCTTATGGAAATTAACTTCGTCTCGCTGGGTGATGCCTTCTGGCCATTGGTGGCTTTCTTCTGACTGATAAGGAAACCAATGTCGAATCCAACGTAATTGAGTATGATATTATTGCTGTCGTCCATAACTCCACAGCAAAAGCGCTTTGTCTTTGAAAAATAGAAAACCAATTTAGTAAGAACATAGTTGCAGTCTGTACGGGTGGCTCTAGGGCAGTTTAATCCTCATATTTTCTGTCTCCCACCCTGGTAGTCAAGTAAGCAGGTTTTTTCTCTTCTGGATATCTTTTTCTACGTTGGTTTTTGTTATCAACTCGCTTGAGTCAGCTTATTGTCCATCGATGGCAAAATCATTCTCACGTAACATAATGGCCATCTCTTTGCATGCGTGCGCCATGTTGGGAAAATATTGCTTTTGTAAATTTAGCGTACCTGAAAAGAACCATGCGAAGAAAATTGACAAGATGGTCCTTGAGGTCAACCACCATATGGCCTGTGCATTCACGAGGTCGCGGAACAAAGGGCCTGGAAGTGGACAGCCCTCCGCTGCAAACAAAGCGACCCCCAATACCCGGCAGCGTCAGCTGCGGTACGTGTGATGTGTGCGGCATGTATGGTCAGGACGTGTACGATCGAGACCTCCCGGAAGATTTTCGGGAAAGAAAGCAATAAGTCACCGACCTGTGAAGATATGACGCATCAGCAAGCTGGTGAGAGGAACTTGACAATTTGGAAAAAGTCGTCAAAAAGACATTACAACATGACGAGTCTTAAAACCATGCTATTTCATGCAGGAGGGAAGAGC